TCATTTTCCTTTGGGGTTGCTGTAGGTGATCTGGAAGTCTGGTTTTGAGACTTATTTATGTGTTTTCTTATTTCGACTTGGGGGGCAGGGGGGTGCTGTTGGCACCCACAAGGCTCACCTCCTCTGAGCTGGGAGAGGTAGGCCAGGGTCTGGGATTGGCAGTAGGGATGGTGGCCCAGAAGCCCCTTCCTCTGGGCCAGGAGTGGCGGGATGGAGGCCCAGAAGCCCCTTCCTCTGGACCAGGAGCAGTGGGACTGCGGCTCAGAAGCCCCTACCTCTGGGCAGGAATTCTTTAAATGCTGAGAACTTGGTTAGCTCCAGTACAGTGGTCTGGTGGTCTGGTGTCCTCTGTGTCTTTGTAGTGTGAAACCAGGTGGCTGTCTGCAGTGGGCCGATTCGGTGGTTTCAGCACAACGGGCAACCTGGGGACCTTGGGACCGCATCCCGTAGACCTGCCTGTCTGCAGCTGGCTGATTCGGTGTTTTCAGTGCAACTCAGGTTGTCTAAGTCTTGATGATGGTGATTCCCAACACAAATATAAGATCTAACTTTTTTCAATGGGACATTTTCCAGGATAATGTCCAAAAGCGTGATTTTTCCACAATGAAATTTTGCCTTCACTTAAGTGATTTCATGTTAAATGACATTTTCCTTGTATAAATAACTAGTAGGTTCATTACTTTAATTATTCTTTGTTTGCTTTCTCCCATTTCAGAACCACAGAACTTTGACAATTTGTCTATTAAGTATATTTTTATTAGTATATGTTAATTTTAGTATATATTAATTTTATAAAATAGTGCCTTATTTTAATTTAAATATCTTAAAGGCCAAAGATAAGCTACAATGAACATTATTAGACTATCCATTTGGTGTTATTCTTCATCATTAGTCCATATCTCTTATATCTGTAAATTATACAATCAGTAACATTATTCCATCGCATGACTCCATGTAGGCTAAAAATTGCAGGAATACTGACACAAAATTAAGTAAAATTCAGTAGGCTCTTAAAAATATTAAGACAGATAAGTAAATACTGAGAGATCCAAGGAATTTTTTTAATATGAAACTTGACTTTATACTGTTTTTTGGTGGTTTCCTTTACTGATTTTCAAGATGAATAATTATTGCTGAAGTCTACATTATCTATTGATAACAATAAATTTCCTCCTAGCTTTGTCAAACAAAAAGGTGAGTCTAAAACTCTGAAGAGTTTTAAAGTCCATATTTGGAATTGTGTTACTGAAAAAATTACCTTAGTATCTTTTCTTGTGCTAGTTTTTACTATGACTACACCTGAGAAAAGCAATATGCAAAAAACTCTGAAGAAGGAACTCATGTTTCTACCCCATACCCACTGGGAAATTATAAGAAAATCTAGCTGGTACACGTATAATCACTATAATCAGGTTCTTTTGTGCAAACCAGAAAAGTCATTTTATATAAGTAAAGATGGAATGTATCAGATTTATAGAATGTGGGGTTTTTTTGCCTTATATTAATTATATCATAAAACCATGAAAAATGATTCATCAAGATATATATTATTGATTTTCCAATCCATACACAATATACTTGCATCTGTAATTTTAGCAGGCATCAAAATCATTTGTTGATTTAAGGAATCACTTTAGTTCTCAGTTTAAAATATCTACATTTTCTCTGCTCATTTTCCTAAGAAAAGTAATAAGCACCTAATTTATCATGTACTAACCTTTAAATGATTGCTTGCAACAGCCTTATGTAAGGGCAGAATTCCATGTATACTTTCACAATTAACATTAGCACCAGCTTTTAATAATTCTACAATTATATCACTAAATCCCTCATTAGATGCCTCATGAAGTGGTGTCCAACCTAAAAAGGGAAAAAGAGAAAAATAAAAGAACAAGCTGTTCCTTACCACATTCATGTAATGTCTTTATTATTAAATTTTTTTGCATCAGTGGAATTAATCTTTATGTATATCCCAGTATTGACAAGAAATAATACAGTATTGAAAACCATAGCCTTAAAATGTGTCAGTTTCATTTTTAAAAACTAATTGATCTCTTCATAAATATTGATGAAAAAGATTAAAAGGATATAAGATATAATGGAACCAGAGTAAATGCTAATCATTTCAATTTGTTTCAACACAGCTATTAAAATGGCTTTCATATTCATTTCTTTGCACTGTCACATTGCTCTTAAAAATGGCATCTTGCTCTATTAACCATTGTGTTTTCCCTCTGGAGTTCATCATACAAGATTTTTGTGCATAAGCAAAATGTTAGAAGATCAATTTCTAAACTGGTAGTTTAGAATAAAAATGAGAGAAAAGAGAAAAAAAGAACACTATAAGGGAAGGAAGAAGGAAAGGAAGGGATAGGAAAATGAGAATATTTTGCATCAGCTTCAAACTGGGAATGGAATTAAAGCTTCCCAAGCAAAAGGTCTAAGTCTTTTACTTCTCATTCTCTATCCCCCTTTGAATGCTCTCAAGTGGATGCAAAAGCTATTTCAAAGAAGGATGTTACTTTAGCAATGCTGAATCATACTATTAAATTGAAAAATACATAGTGTTAAAAAGATTGCTCAAAGTTAGTTATATCAGCCAGGATGGAAATTGGAGAAGGGGATAAAATGTTAATTTCAGGGAGGTCAAATGATATAAACAATTAGATTAAAAGTATCCAAACCTGCATTGTCTTTCAGATTCACATCTGCTCCAGATTCTATCAGAATTTGAACTAGGGACAAATCTCCTCTTCTGGCAGCTGAATGAAGCTGGCTTTCCCCTCTGGCATTCCTCTTACTGATCCCAGTTGTCTTCATTTCAGCAAATTTGCCAAGCAAAACTGAGTCTGGAACAATTTCCCCAAAATAGTGTAAACACATCACATCAGTTAATAGTAACTGCTCTATTGTTCACTAGAACTTGTAAAAAAATTATAGAGTATTTAAGCACATACTTTGGATTCATTCTAACAGTTGGTCAAACACTTGATAAACTTGTTTCAGTTATACAGTCATCTCATTCTCAGCAGTCCTTCAGCAATGGCTAAAAGTTTTCTTATCCAAATTATGATACTATAAAAATCCTTTGTATACAGCTAGTCTTTACCTCAGGAGGTGTGTTCCTATCACATAAGGTGCCAAATACTAAACATGGGTCTTTTGGGTTCTCTATTTTTTTTTCACAAAAACTTCAGTACAATAGCATTGTCCAAAGAGGTTTTTTTTAGTTTTTTCTTTGCAGTGCTACTTAGAGAAACTTACATTAAAGCAATGAACAGATCATATACCCTCCCCCATTTTTCTCCCTGATCCCTGCTAAAAGGATAGTACAATATATATTTAAAGAATCATATAAAGAAAATAGAGAAGGAAAGAATAAAAGACAAACTTCAACAATTTGGGGGGAGTTGAAAAGTCACCGGTGAACAGAGTATGAACTGACTTAACAGAGTGTGGAATACTCCAACGTAAGTGTCTACAAAAGGAAGAGAGCCAGTCTAATCCCAGGCAGTCGGCACTTTTGAAAGGCAAGTGTGTGGAACAGAGCAGAGAGACTGATTAAAATTTATATATAGAAATGTTAGCACTCCAAGTTCCTTTTCCCAGCTCTGAATTGACGGGCAATCACTTCTCTTATTCCAGATCCTCATCCCAAAGCTAGGGACATGGAGATTTATTTTCTGTAGGAGCTGCATCAGAGAAGATTTGGACTGAGATGTAAGGCAAAACAGAGTTAGGGTAATGAAACAGAAAAGAACATTCATTAAATCAGCAGCACCAGTACCACCTAGCAAATTTCCAAGAAATGCAAATTTCCCAGCTCGCCCCAAACCTACTTTGGAAGGCACACTCTAAAATGGCTCCTACCAATGCAGAAACTTATCTTGAAGGATAAAAGTCTCATCTGCCAGATTACAGTATTTATTGCGTGGAAATAAGGGATGAAATCATAAGTGACTAGAAGGAAATGCCAAGTGATCATTTAAGTATTATAGGATGAAATTTCATATTTCTATTAAAAAATAATTTCTTTTAAGGTAACAACTTGAAATACCATCTTTTATTCCTGAATACCTATATCACTCATTAATTAGGATCTCAGGATGTGTCAGCATATTCATGCTGGGTCTTCTAGCCATTTTACTTTTTAAAGTCATAAACTGTTTCTGTGGTCTTGGCGCTGAATTAAGAAATTGCTTCTGAACACCTCAGGAGGATGAATTAAAAAATAAATAAAATGGCTTCTAATGATCTTCACTTTTTGGTATTTGTGGCTTCATGAATAATTTGCTTCTAACCAACACTACCTCAATATTAAAGGTATTTCACTTCCTTGATCAATTTTAACACATCCCTCTGGCTGCAGACTTGCTCTATTGCTTTTAGTTTGTATGCTTTGATAATGCATGGAGGGATGATGGAGAACCCCCTGCAGAATGATCAGTAAGGAACTGAGGCCCTCAGGCCAACTACCCTCAAGAAAGTAAGTTCTTGTGAACAACCATATGTTGTAGGGGACAGGGGAAGGGGACGTTACCAGAACCTCTGCAGTTAGTCCTGGTCTCCTGCGAGCCACGGCGGCACACGGCGAATTACAGGAAAGGTAGAAAAATGAGACCGAGAAGAAGCTGAGCTTTGGGTCTGATCAGTGCTGCTCTGGGCGGCAAAGATGAAAGCCCCCAGCTTACCACACCTTTTATTCAGTACATCCGGAGAAACAAATGTAACAAATGACTTGCAGAGAGTTCAATAGTTCACATTGGGATAAACAAGGTGTAAGGGAAGGCTTGCAGAGAGTTCAGTACATCTCCGGCAAACAAGATGTTAATCAGTCCAAGAACAATGAGGAACTGAGCAGATGTTTGTTCTCCCAGGATGTTTCTTGTCCTGGAGAATCACAGCATCACTGGATCACTGAAGTCTCAGTTGTGACCGGAGGCCAAACTGGAGTTATTCTGTAGCTGGGCTGTAGGCAAGAGAACTAGGCTAACCAAATGATTTATCCCTAGAATTATGTAGCATTGCTCCCAACAATATGTGGTTGAAGGTATATCCTTCCCCAGGCCAGCTTGCAGTCCTAATCAATACCTTGACTGCAACCTACCTGAGAACCTGTAGATTACTTGGTTAAGACATACTCAATTCCTGACTTACAGAAATCATGAGATAATAAATGGGTGTTGTTTTAAAACTGTTAAGTTTGTGATAATGTGTCATGTAGCAACAGAGACAACTAAGACACCTACTAAATCAGACTCTCTGAGGGTGGGGCCCAGAAATCTGTGTTTAAACTTTACAGATGATTTTGACACAAGATAAGGTTTGAGAACCACTGCATTGAAATGGGTGTGTTAGCACACACCTGTAGTCCCAGCCACCAGAAAGGCTGAAGCAGGAGAATCTTGGGTTCAAGGCCAACCTGGGTAACATGGACACCCACTCCACCTCAGATGAAAAGAAATCCACTGCATTAAACCATGAAAACTTTCTTACTGTATTTCCTAAATGCCAGAAGCCACACATACAATTTTAGGGTAAGAGACAAAAAAATGGAGAATCACAGGGCAGACTACAGCTATCTTCCACTGCTTTTAAAAGACACTGCTTTTAAAAGAGAACTGCACAGGGATGCCGTACCAAGGTCACGAGTCATGTGGAACACACCAAATCAGCCTGTACCCCGGCAGCAATCCACTGAACACTTACCACCCCCCGCCCCACTCCCCTGGCCTCATCTCTGTATGGCCACCTGGTTCCACACTACAAAGACGCAGAGGACACCGGTCCACCAGACCACTGTATTGGGTAAGGTGGAGTCATCTTCACCTCCCACCAGGACCAGTACTATCTTCAGGGGAAGGGCAGCTGGAACCTGCAATAAAACTCTGCAAAGTTCAAACCTACAGGAGGACAGGGAGCTCAACTTGGGATTTGCAGCCATAAATCTGCCTGAATCTCACAGGTCTGCGACTAGCATGCTGAGACTCATTGACTTATATCTGCACACTGCTACCCACGTTGTCTATTGTGACAGCAGAGACATACCCTGACAGAGGCCCTTCATCTTCATGTTTTGTTTTTTTTGGTACCGGGGATCAAACTCGGGTCTTTGCACTTTCCCAAAATTAGTATTATTAGTTTGGGGTTTTTTCTCTTTCTTTTCTTTTGCTCCTCTTATCTTTAATTTTTTTCCTACTCTTTGCAAATATTTTTCTCTCCTTTTTTCTTTTCTTTTCTTCTTTCTTTTCTCTTTCCTTTCTCTCTCTCTTACATTCACTCTCTTGCTCTCCCACATTGTTCATCTTCCCTTTTTGTCCCTGTTTTGGTCCTCATTCTTCTTAATTTTCTTTTTATTCTCTTTTTC